ACACACACACACACACACACACACACACACATAATAGAAGTCCCAGAATGACTCCAAGACACAAATTAAGCCTTTAAATGAGCAGTTTAATCTCTCCCCTGGAACTTAGAAAGCTACTCTAGACAATGGTGTAAGTGAAGTGTCTGAGGTAAAATACTTTAACATGAGTAAACAGATTCTTCATGTTTAGAAGTGCCTTTAAAGTTGATCCACAAGAAGTGGAGGGGAAAACATGCCCAAAACCACATCAGAGAGAAAAATGTTCTACTTTCTCTAATTGTGTTCAGCTTTCTCTTTTGCTAAAGTGAACATCTCACTCTCAACTCACTGCCGTGGAGTCAGAACCAACTCCTAGCTGAGCCTCTGCTGGTTCCTGAAGCTGTAAATTGCTTGGGAGGAGAAAGCTCATCTTTCCCCAGAGGAGCTGCTGGGGTCTTAGGGCCACAGAGAGGCATGAAGTCTTCATGAAAAGACATTTCAACTCTTGACAGCAATATACTTCAGAGTCTATTCTGCTCGTGAATAATGAAGTGGCTTGTCAAGTGTATCTATTCTTTTATTCTTTCTGGGAATTTATCTTTCCTTTTTTACCCTAAGATCTGGTGGCATAATCAGTAAGGATCTGTGCTGCTCTCCTTAAGGCCGTGCATCTTGGAGGGAGGGTTTCAGTTCATGAGATGGAGCTAAGAAATCTGTGTGAATAACAGTTTTGGAAACCCAATGGAGAATCAATTATGAGTCGATTTTCATTCAAAGACCAACTTTATAGAAATAAGAGAGAGATGGAATCCTTTTCAGATTTTATGTTAGATTATGCAGAGAACTTAAAAATAAATCAGGTTTTTATTTTACCCTCAAGGAACTTCAGTTATCTTCTTGAATAAAAAGGCATGTTCTTTAAATTTGGCATTCTATTATGAAAGTCAAAACAATGCCATCTGCATTGAATTTGGAACATCAAAGTCTTTTCCAACTTTGGAGTGTAATAATGTAATGGGTTGGTAATTTTATCCAGCTATGTTTCACTATTGTTTTTCTGTCTGAGAGAGACATAAACTTGGGGGAAGACAGACTCATATTTAAGGAGCTGGGTAACATTTAGTTAAACACCTTTAAGAAGGCTGACTTGTGAACTGTGTTAGATCCAGAAAGATTCAAGTCCATTGTGGTCACGTTTGTAAACTATGGTGCAATATTAAAAGACATTAATTTTGCATTCATGTGCTCAAACACTGGGGGATGGCGTTTTAGTTTTTTTAGTTCTAACATACTGAGAACGTGATTGGCCTGAACTTTTGTATGTCTAAGCTCTTCCAGACAGGAAAATGCAAAGAATGGCTTGTTTTTCATTCTTATCTCAAAGGGAAAGGCCAGGAATGAAAGACTTGGAAATGGTCTACTGAAACCTTTCAGGGGACTCCTGACAGGATCCTGATGTGAGAGAGTGGATTGCCAGCCCTGAGGAATACAAAGTCGAGGTAGGCTACTGCCTTTGACAAGAGCACTGTCTCTAGTTCTGTCTGTGAAGAGACTTGGTTGTTATGCAGTGGACACACTGCCCCTGTTTTCTAAGAGGGAGATTAAATTTATAGGACAACAGGGACCCATATTTTTTTCCAGTTTCTAACTCTGGTGTCATAGTGGTAAGAAATTGTGCTGCCAACCTAAAGGCAGACAGTTTGAATCCACCAGCTGCTCTGCAGGAGAAAGATGGATACTCTCTTCTCAGATAATTTACATCCTCTGAAAACATGCCAGGTGGTCAGGCATGAGTTCTAATTTGATGGCACTTAACATAATCCATTGTTAGTGTGATGTATCCATGTGTAAAAGATCCAAGTCTTTTCTGATTTCACTTGTCAATCATGACTGGAACCAACCTGAAGCCCTGAATTATGTTTCCAGTTCCTAAATAACACACCTCTGGAAACTCTATGAGCTTTGATAAATGTCAATAACTGTAGAGGGGCTTCAAGCCTTTTGTTCATAGGGTCGCTATGAGTTGTGCTCGACTTGAAGACAATGAATAACAAGAACAACAACAAAAGAACTCTGGTGGCATAGTGTTATCTTGATGACCATAGTAAGGTTGATAGTTCAAACCCACTATTTACTCCACAGGAGAAAAATGGATAGTAAGATTTACAGCCTTAACCTTCTAAGACTCAAATCCCTATGCACATCCAAAAACTTCTCCAGTAGGGTAAAAAGGGAAGCCACTGACTGGGAAAAAGTATTCGGTAATAACATATCAGATAAGGGACTTATATCCAGAATTTATGAAATACTTGAGCACCACAACAAGATAAATAATCCAATAGAAAAACGGGCACAGGATATGAACAGGCACTTCACCGAAGATGACATTCAGATGGCTAACAAACACATGAAGAAATGCTCAAAATCCCTAGCCCTAAGAGAGATGCAAATTAAAACAACTATGAGATATCATTTCACCCCAGTCAAAATAGCAAAATTTAACAGAACAGCAAGCAATAAATGCTGGCGAGGTTGTGGAGAAACTGGAACCCTGATTCACTGTTGGTGGGAGTGTAAAATGGTGCAACCCCTGTGGAAAGCAGTATGGCGCTTTCTCAAAAAGTTGCAAATAGAGATACCATTTGACCCAGCAATTCCACTACTGGGAATATACCCTGAAGAGACCATAGCTGACATCCAAGCAGATATATGCACACCCATGTTTATTGCAGCTTTGTTCACAATAGCAAGGAGTTGGAAACAACCTAAGTGCCCATCAACAAACGAATGGCTAGAGAAGCTGTGGTATATTCGCACAATGGAATACTATGCTGCATTAAAAAACAAGGAACTCATGCAATATTATTCAAAATGGTTGACTCTGGAGAACATTATGCTGAGTGAAATATCCCAGTCACAAAAGGACAAATATTACATGATGCCACTGTTGTAGAATGGGACTGTCCTTGGGGTTGGGGAGAGACTGAGTAAGATGGGTTCAATAATGTATACTGCACTGAAACAGAGGAGGGAGAGAACCGTTTAAAAGAGAGATATAACTGGGTATTTCTGTCATCACAGGAGACTAGAGCGAGGGCTACATGGTGGAGGGGACCTGGGGGAGGGTTTGTAAAACAATGAAAGAATCTTTTCTTTTACTTTTCCATAATTTTTGGACTCATGTACTTATAACTTGTTAGTCAAATTTGTGTCTTCTAGGTTGCAACACCCCCATGATACATCTTCAAGGATATGAACATGTACAGCCAAGCACAATCAATAAGAGTGCATCTAAATTCCAAAATCAATCTCCATAATAGTCTATGTGTTTCCTACTGCCAAAGGGGCCCTTTAGAGTAGTGAGAGAAGATCTTCACCCTGAAACCCACAGTGTCCCTTTTCAGCAGGAAGTAGCTAAGAGAATACGCCGTCCCCTTTTCCTTATGACTCAGGGTGAAGTCTCTCTCAGGGAGGAGTGATAGGGAATGGCAAAGGACACACTGACAAAGAAGATTAATCAGAACTGGCTTTGACAAGCACTGTGGCATTTGGACAAGAACAAACTGGGAGGAGGGTAGAGAGAATAGTGCAACAATGAATGAGTGGAAGCCCAAAATCTCTGTAAATGTTTATGAAAATTAATAAAATATAATTATAGAAAAAAAAAAGATTTACAGCCTTGAGAACCCAGTGGAAGGTTGCTATGAACATAATCATCAGTTCAAAGGAAGTGGATTTTGGAGTAAAGTTTTCCTAGTCAATTATTTCTGACGTGCATAGTCTGTCTTCTTCCTAGTCTGTCTTAGTCTAGAAGCTCTGCTGAAATCTGTCCACAGGGAGTGACCCTGCTGGTATTTGAAATATGAGTGGCATAGCTCTCAGCATCATAGCACCACTCTAATCACCCCAGTGTGAATAACAGACGGATGACTTAATCTCACATACTTTGGACATGTTACCAGGAGAGGCCAGTTCCAAAAGAAGGATATAATGCTTGGAAAAGAGGGTCGGTGGAAAAGAGGAAGACCATTAAGGAGATGGATTGACACAATGACTACAACTATGAACTTGAGCATGGCAGAGATCATGAAGGTGGCACAGGATCAGGCAAGGCTCTAAGCTACTGTTTGTGGTATTACCATGAATTGTGGCCAACTCAATGGCATCTAAAAATAACAGCAAAGAATCTGTGGTAGCATAGTGGACTAAGCACTGGGATGCTGGCCAAAAGGTCAGTGATTTGAACCCTTCAAGCTACTTCATGGAGGAAGATGTGGCTGTCTTCTCCATAAACATTACAGCCTCAAGAACCCATGGATGGTTCTACTCTGTCTTAAAGGTTCAATATGAGTTGAAACAACTCAGCAGCAATGGTCCTGGGTCACTGCTGCCTGACTGTGTGAGGAATGTGGCATCAGGATAGGAGGATGACTCTTCATCACCCTGTGGTATGCAAGTGATACAGCCTTTCCTGAAGGAAGTAAAGGAGACTTGGGGTGCTTGTTGTAGAAGATCAAAGATGATAGCCTTCAATCTAGATTGCATCTCAACATCAAGAAACCAAAATCCTCACAGTGGGACCAGTAAGCAACATAATGGGGAAAAGATTGCAGTTGTTACTACCTTCATTTTACTTGAATCCACAACCAATATTCACAGTAGCAGAAGTCAGGAAATCCAAAGAATTGTTATATTGGGAAAATCTGTCAAAGGCCTCGCCAGAGTGTTAAAGAACAAGGACATCAGTTTAAACACTGCAGTTATGATCTTTTCAATTATTTGCTATGCATCTGAGAGTTGAACAATAAATAAAGAAGACTGCAGAATCTATACCTTTGAGTTACGGTATTGGAGAAGTGTATTGAATCTCTCCCTAAATCTGTCTTGGAAGAAGTGCAAGCAGGATGCTCCTTAGAAGCAAGGATGGCTAAATTGTCTTAACATATTTTGGGCACGTCATCAGGATAGTCCAGTTCTTTGAAAAAAGATATTAGACTTGGAGAAGATGGATTGACACTGTGACTCTAACTAACCATAGGCTCAGGTGTGTTGGAAATCATGAATATGGTACACAATAGGACAAAGTTCTTATCTGTTGTTCAGAGAGTTGCTGTGGGCTGTAATCAACTCAGCGGCACCTAACAACAACAAAGGGTGTATCAGCCAGCTTTCTTTCCTTCCTCTTTTGTCTCTTTACATTCTCCTTGGATCTTTCAACAAGTGTCCAACCATTGTGAAAATTCATGACAAAATTGACGTGTGTGTGTGTGTGTGTTTGTGCATGTGCACACATATATGTGCACACATTTACATGTTGTTGTTATGTGCTGTCAAGTCGCCTGTGACTGTACCCTATGTACAACACCCCTAAAGCCTGCTCTATCTTGTGCCAGTCTCACTGTCTCCAGCACACCTACCCTCATTACTGAATCAATCCATCTCATCAAGGGTCTTCCTATCCTGCACTGTCCCTCCACACTCCCAAGCATGACAGCCCTCTCCAAAGACTGGTACCTCCTTGCAATATGTCCAAAGTATGTCAGACAAAGCTTCAGAATCCTTGCCTCCAAGGAGCAGCCTGGCTTCACCCTCTCTAGGAAGAACTTGTTTGTTCTCCTAGCAGTCCATGGCATATTCACCACAGCTCAAAAGCATCATTTCTCTTTCTATCATCCCTAGTCATTATCCAGCTTTCTTATGCATAGCAAGTAATTGCAAAGACCATGGCCTGGATTAAGCTAACCTTAGTCTCCAGACTGACATCATTGCTCTTCAGTACTTTGGAGAGGTCTCTGACAGCAATTCATCTCTTAATTTCCTGGCTGTTGATTGTGGAGTCAAGGAAACTGAAGCTTTTTTAAAATTTTTTCTTCAAACTGAAGATTTTAACAATCTCAATCTTTTTACCATCCATCATGATGCTGCCAATCGGCCCAGTGGTGAGAATCTTTGTTTTCTTTTCTTTTTTTATTCATTTCAATGAACATCTACAGAGATTTTGGATTTCCATTCATTCATTGTTGCACTTTTCTCCCCATCCACCCCACCCCCACCCCCAGTTTGCTCTTCTCCTTGAAAAGCAAAAGAAAAACTCCTTCACTGGTATACAATCCTCCCCGCACACCCCCATCCCCACCTCCACCCCGAGTATACTCCACCCTGCAAACCTCATTCCAGACTCTTATGATAATCATAATGCCCTAAAATATATTACTTTTAAACTATTCTCTCCCTCATTGGCTTCAATGCAGTAAACATAATTTATTCAGTTTTTTCAGTCTTAGCCCCACCCTGATATCAGCCTCATTCTACAACAGTGGCACCATGTAGTATTTGTCCTTTTGTGACTAAGAATCTTTGTTTTCTTGATGCTGAGCTTCAATTCCTATTGAAGGCTGCAGTCCTTGACCTTCTGCAGCAAGCACTTCAGGTCCTCCTCAGTTTCAGCAAGCAGGGTTATATCATCTGCATAACACAGATTGTTGATGAGTCTACCTCCAATCCTGATGCCACATTTCTCCTCATAGAGCCCAGCCTCCCGGATAATCTGTTTTGCATATAGATTGAAAAGATATATAGAGAGGACATGTCGTTGGCTCACACCCTTCTCGACTTTGAATCGTCCAGTGTTTTCTAGCTCATTTCTGACAACTGCCTCTTGGTCCAAGTATAGGTTTCGCATCAGCACAATCAAGTGTTCTGGGATTTCCATTCTTTTCAGAGTCAGCCAGTTTGTTGTGATCTACACAGTCAAATGCCTTTGCATAGTCAATGAAAAACCGATAGACATTCCTCTGGTACTCTTTGCTTTCAGCCAAGACCCATCTGATATTAGCTATAATATCCCTAATACCATGGCCTCTTCTAGATCCAGCTTGCACTTCAGGCAGTTCTCTGTTGATATCTCTCTCTTCTCTCTCTCTCTCTCTTCTCTCTTCTCTCTTTCTTTCTCTCTCTAATTTCTCTCTCTCCCTCCCTCCCCTCTCTCCAAAGGAAAAAGATGGGCAATCTCCTCCTGTGTGATTGATTAATTGCCTCTGAAAGTCCTCTAGAGAGTCAGCTAAGAATCCATTCTTGCTTCATGGCACTCAACAATAATAGGGAGCTCTGGTGGCTTAGTGGTAAGGAATTGACTGCCAATCCAAAGGCATATGATTCAAATTTACCAGTGGCTCTGCACAAGAAAGACGGACAGTCTTCTCATGCACTTTACAGCCTCTGAAAGCCCCCTGGAAGGTCAGCAATGAGTCAGCTTTGACTCAACAGTATAAAACAAGAACTATATAAATGAAAATATGGATTTATTTATCAGGAAGTTTAGCTCTTAGAGTGTTTACAGTGTCTGTCTTTTGGAATGATTTTAGTAAGCTTAATGATGGGTCTGTTTAAATTGTTTTCATGCGTCTGAAGAGACAGGAGTGTGTGACATTTTGACACTTGAGCTCAAAATATCTGCCACAGAGTTGAACTTGCATGGGTTTGAATTTTAATGACATGACATGTGATAGAACCAGATGATTTATTTACAAAGAAAGGAGAAGGAAAGAAGAAAACAATGAAGATTAAAAAACCCAGCAAACATCATTGAAATTTAATTTGATTTACAATTCTTAAAAGAGACTATGAAGATTCCAACTCATGTATATATGTATTTTCCCTCGCTAGGGTAGAAGAAAATGATGTGGAGATTATGGGAAAATGGCAATGTGTGTTAGAGTTTGGTGATGATCTTCCCTGTATTTTTCTGTAGGGTGAATCCATGAGGCTCATCTCGGAAGGCTGCCCTGGGGTCCGGAAGCTCAACCTGTCTAACACAAGGATCACCTGCCCAGGTAATGGTGCTGTTATTAACAGGGAAAAGAATTAACTTGTAATTATGCACCTCTGCACTCTGGCTAGGAGCCCTGGTGGCTTAATTAATTGTTTGTTGGGCTGCTACAAGGAAAGTTTGGTAGTTCAAATCTACCAACCTGCTCTGATAGAGAAGGACAGGCAGTCTCTACCCCAAAAGGTTCACAGCCTCAGAAATCAGATGGTGGGTCACCAGGAGTCAGAGTCCACTCAGTAGTCCTGATCAAAGACTACTCTGCATTGCGCTCTTAAAGTAAAAACCATGCCAAATAAAGAAAACAGCAAAGAATTGTGCCAATCTGTGTCATGTGTTTGATTCTGACTCACAGCAACTCCATATGCTACAGAACAGAACTGTTCATAGAGTTTTCTTAGCGGTAGTATTTACAGAAACAGCTTGTTAGGCCTTTCATCCAGGGTACCATTGGGTGAGTTAGAACCACCAGCCTTTAGTTCCAAAATCAAGCACTAACTGTGCATGTCATCTAGAGGTCTTTCAAGTGTGCTCTTGAGTTCTCCAAAGGCAGTGCTCCCTGCACCAATATCTCACTACTATAACACAACTAACAAGACACTTGTTTATAAGTCCCCAGCCTGCCTTCTTGATAGACTTACTAGCCTTCTGCCTTAGTAGCCCATGTTTTTAGTAGTTAGTCTGTTTGTGGTGTACCCAGTAGCTTCAATTAAACCTTCCTGCTCTCCCTTACCACACACTGGAGACCTCCACCTAAATTCTACCTTTGCTTAAGACTGTGCGGCAACATGGCAAGTGGCTAGGAGAGGTTATTCCTGGGAGGGGACAGCATGATTGAATGGGTGAAGGGTCAGTGAAAGGGAGGAAGATCCTCAGTGAGATGGATTGCCACAGTGACTATAGTAATGAGTTGAAAAGTGTATCAGAGATGACGAGGATAGCACAGGATAGGACAGGATTCAAATGTATCATTCATAGGGTCACTATGAGTCGTACTCTACTTGATGGCATTGAACAACAACATACAGGAATTTTAGGGAAGTCTAGTGGCAGAGTCCATAGAGAGTTGAACCACCAACCAAAAGGCTGCTCAAATCCACCAGTACCTCTGAGACATGAAGATAAGCAACATACACATACATATACATGTACACACGCATACATATTTTTATGGAAAACCTTGTTAAGCATTCACCAGTTGTTGTTGTTGTTGTTGTTACGTACCGTCAAGTCACTTGAGACTCATAGTGACTGTATGTACAACAGCTCTGAACTCTGTTTTATTCTGAGCCAACCTTATTGTCTCTGAGAGACCGACCTCATTAACCCAGTCACTGAGTCAATTAATCTCATCGAGGGTCTTCCCCTCTAGTGCTGTCCCTCCACGCTCCCAAGCATAATGCCTCTCTCCAAGGACGTTCCTCTTTGCAACATGTTCAAAGTATGTCAGACAAAGCTTCAGAATCCTTGCCTCCTGGGAGCAGCCTGATTTCATCCTCTTTTAAAGACAAACCTGTTTGTTTTCCTCGTAGTCCATGATATGTTCAATACTCTTCTCTAGCACCGCAGCTCAAAGGCATCATCCTTCTATCATCCCAGTCACTGTCCAGCTTTCTGATACATAGCAATTAATTGCAAAGACCATGGCCTGGATCAGGCTCTCCTTAGTCTCTGGACTGACATCATTGCTCTTCAGTACTCAGAAGAGGTCCCTGATGGCAGATTTTCCAAATGCAAGTAATTTTTTTTATTTCTTGGCTGCCATTACCAAAGTGTTGCCTGTGAAGCCAAGCAAACTGAAGCTGTTAGCAATCTCAGTCTCTTCACTGTCTATCATGATGCTGCCAAATGACCCAGAGTGAGAATCTTTGTACATACTATACTAAACACAGAAAAAATGAAGAGTTATGTTTTTATGATATAGTTTTAGATTCATCATGTTGGCTCCAGCTTATAGCAACTTTTCATATAACGGAACCAAATATTGCCCTTTCATGCACCATCATCACAGTCTCTGTTGTGTTTACATCCGTTGTTCCAGTCACTGTGTATCAATCCATCTTGAGAGTCTTTTACTTTTTCTTTCACCAAGCATGATGTCTTTCTCCAGGGCCTGCCCTCTCCTGATAACATATCCTAAATATGTAAGATAAGGTCTCATTACCTTTGCTTCTGAGGAGCTGTATGTCTGGTAGTCCAATCAGTATTCTTTGCCAACACCTCAATTCAAAGACAAAGATTCTTATTTATTTATCTCAATTTTGGAAGCATATGAAACAATTGAAAAACACCTGTGGCTTGGGGCAGGTGCACCTTAGTCTTCAAAGTGACACTTTTGCTCAACTACACTTTAAAGAAGTCCTTGGCAGCAGATTTTCAGTGCATTACTTTCTTTGGTTTCTTGACGGCTTTTTCTATGTGTGTTGATTGTGGAGCAGATATGCCCATTGAATTACATTGTTTGATATCTTGACTGCTGTTGCTTCCTACATGTTGATTGTAGATCAAAGTAAAAAGAAATCCTTGACCATTTTAATCTTTCTCCATTTATCATTATTCTGTTTACTGATTTTTTTTCCCTAAGTACACTTATATTTAACAAATGAATAAAATTTTGGTTTATTCATACAAACGAGTTTTATAAAAGTTATACCTAAGGGTTTTTGTTTGTTTGTTTGTTGTTGTTGTTATTGTGAATGGCATACTTTATGGGTTATATTTTTTAATTACATTTTCAAAGTAGTTAACTTTACACTTGATTGAAGTACAGGTATGTTTTTCCACTTATCATTTGAATAATTCATTGTTTTCCCCTTTTAAAGTTAAAAGAGAATGTTCAAGGCCTTGAAGTTGCTTCCGAGTAAGAATTTAGGAAAAATCTGTAATATTTGATAGAGATTGTTCTCGTTTTCTCAACAATTAAATGTTTGATTTTCTCTTTTACCAAGTACTTATTTAGAAGAGAATTTTATTTTATTCCAAGTGGTTAAAGTTTCTTTGATTTTTCTGTTTTTAATTTCTAGTTTTATGTACTGTGGTCAAGAAATGTGGACTGCATTATTTCTACTGTTTGAAATTTATTGAGATTTCTTTTAGAACTAGTTTATAATTAGTTTCAGCAAATTAGTTTCATGAAGGTTTAAAAGAAAGAGACTCTCTTGTAGAGAACCAAGTTTCCGTGTGGATATGTGTGTATAAATGTATAAATTTTTGCTGTCATGGTAGGATAGTAATATATTAGTTTCTTACTATAATCAAACTTTTCAGAGCTTATTTTTATGTTCTTACCTTATACATAAAGATCAATAAGTATTATGTTTCATTCGAGATTATAGCATTTATTCAGATAAAATTACACTCTTTAATCTGGTTGGTATTACTTTGCCATTAATTGTATTTTATGTGCAATTAATACAGCCACTTTTGTTTGCATTTGCTTGTAATTTTGTGGAATAATTTTTATACATATTTATTTTCAACCTTGTATTTATCACTATATTTTAGGATGTAGCTAATTGAATGTTTAAAAATACATTTTTACTTCCTTTATCTTTTAAGAGAGTAGTTTAAAATAGTTTCTTAGCTTCAGTAGACAGTGTCACAGACGAGAGCCACAGATAGGCAAGGGAGTAGAGAGGAAGCTCCCACTCACTTGCTTTAAGTGTGGATCTGAAGGACACTTGGCCAAGGGTGGCCTACATCAGGTCCTTGTGGCTGACAGGACTGACAGGCCCCAGCTCCTGGCTCGAAACAAAGGAGGACGCTTCAATGATTTAGATCCTCCCAGAAGAGCTGTGGGTGAGCATTAACATTACTGGTAAGTATATTCGTTTTCTCCTGGACACAGGAGTCTACTATTTGGTCCTAAAAGCCTTCTGAGGTCCCACTCTTCTCACTATTTCGTAGTTGTTGGAATTGACGGAAAACCTCATAAGCAGTTCCTTACCTCACCTCTGCCTTGAATGCGTACTTCCGAGTTGTAAAACAACCCAGTGGTAGATGGAATTTGGTCCAGGACTTAAGAACAATAAATGACATAGTTGAGCCTCTACATCTTGTGGTTCCTAACCTTTATACTATAATAGACAAAGTGCTAGTCAATAGGCCTTTTATTTTAGGAACTACCTTCCCTCTGTAACTTGATTTGTGCCACTATTAGAGTGTCTA